TTAGGTGGAGAGAGACACATCGGTAAGGGCCTGAAGTTAAAGAACAACATTGTTTTTCTTTTTCTTTTTTCTTCTCAAGGTCTCCTTAGGGGCCGGTGGTTAAACAACAGCACTATTACAAACTAGAGATTGGTTTCTGAACATGTTCTACAGACGAGACAAACAATCTCAAGACAATTACAATGGCTGGGTGAGTGGAAGGTAGACAATGGCTCTGTGGCACCACTCCTCACGGGACAGATTACTGTAATTCCAGCCTAACAGGTAAGGACTTTACATTAGGTTCTCAGCATTGGACATGCAAGGACACACCATACCTGACATTAGCTCTTAAATTGCGCTGTTTTCAATGTCGAAGTGGCCTATGAAAGTCCAAGATCCAAATCTGGTAACTATAGATGGTGGTTTTATACAACAATAGGCGGAATTTACTAAGGGGCCATTCACACAGAACAAGTTTTTACTTTAAAAATGTGAGATGCAGGGCAGTGAGTTTTTTTTTTTTACAGTGAACTTGAATGCCATGTTTTAAGCACAGCGTGTCAAGAGTTTGCAAGTGCAACAGTTAAAAATGTCATTCTAGCCAATGTGTACATAGAAAAACATTGTAACAGCACTGCAGTGGAATGCAAAATGTGTTTTGTGTGAATGGCCCCTGAAAATAAATGATGTCCCAACACCTCAGATGACCCAACACCTGAGAAAAGATTACGCCAACCCCTATGAGGAGCTTAGATGACGCAAACTCTAAATAAATATACAAAACTGACAAATTGTCCTTACATTGTAAACATTATGATCACAACTTGTACAAATGATTGCCTTAATTGTGTCCATCGTTCTGCTTGAATACATGTCATTAGCTAAATGCATTATTTATATATTTTTTTTTATTATTTATATGCACATTTCTGCTATATGGACATTACTTTCATATCACCAACAAATTACTCTTAATTGTAATGCAGAAACATGCATCTCCTGAAAAGCTGCTTTGAAACAACATGCATCATGAAAAACATTACACAAATAAACGTAAATTGAATTGAAAACGTGAATGTCCATGGATAGTGCCGTTTATTGGCAGGTGCTGTGTTTTAGTTCTTAAAAAAAGGAAATTAGGTTCCTTGAAGCATGATCTATCAGTTGTATATTGGTTATTTGTAATATTTCATTAGGTATGTTTATTTCCCTTATTTTTACATGGATATTACCCTTTGTCATCATATAATGCTCACAAAGTGAAAAATATTAAAAAAACTAAGAATTTAATAACAGTCAAATGTTACATGTAAATATCTTTAACAAATCTCTAAATTAATATCTGTTTTTCATACTGTACATTACAATGTGATGCCTACATTTAGTTTTTCATACATAATTTGTAAATAATAGTAAATACAAATAGTGCTGAAAATAATGCTAATTAATTTTAAAATTCACAGTGCAGTACCATTTCAACTCATTTTGTAGCTTGTTACACAGGACTGAACACAGAACAGGTTTTTGCTGAAATATTGAATGCGTTTGGTGAATTCACCTCAATGTTTGTTAAATAAGTATCCAGACTTTTAGAAACCTGGAAATTCTCAGCTCAGCATACATGTGTTTGCAGTGATACGTTGAAATCCTTGTAGATAGACTAGGCATGCTGGTGTGATTGTGCAAGCTTAGTCATGAAAAAAAAATAACAAATACATGCATGCACCCCCCCCAAAATCCATCCAAATGACATCCCTAGATATCTAAGCTTATCTGAGACTCCTTGTAGTACCAGCATGCTATTGCTGGTTCAAAGATATGCTGGCAATGATTTTAGAGGGGATTGTCACGTATAACATGCAAGAAAAATTAAAAAAGGATTTCCTCTGAAGGAAATAAGTATTGGGTTGCTCTCAGTATGGTATTATATATCGACACAGCAACAGCTTTGAGTTTCTTAAAGTGGTAGTCATATCATGAAAAAACTTTGATCTCTTGAAACAAAAAGGTTCAATGTAAACATACTCAGAGTTTTAAAACTGAAAACTTTTCCAGGCCAAACAGACCACCTATTGAAAGGAAGCTGCGGAAACGTCTTTTTCCGAACTTCCACAACTTTCTGAAGTCAGATGAATACACTGACACATGACCACCCGCATTTGCACATCAATGATGCCTAATCAGGAGTTAGCAACTTGGACCAGCCAGTCGTGGTGAAGTAATATGGAGGTGGTAGAAAAGAAAATGTTATTATTCCAGTTGGCAAATAACAGTAAGATGTGGAGGCCTCTGATTATTTCAGTCTGACCTAAATTGTCTATGTGTCACATTTTGGTGAGAATTGTTTTATGAACCTGCCACAATCTAATCCAGCCTTTGCAAAGAGGCTGCTATTGAATGTCAGGGAAGCAACAAATATATTGGACCAAATAGCAAACCTGCCAAAAACTTTGAAGGTTGTCTCTCATTTCACATGCAAAGAGGGTGTTTGCTCAGAATTTAAAGCTACAGCAGCAAAAACAGCAAAAAAGAAATAGTCACGTAAAACTAAATACAATAACAACAATAGATAAGAAATTAAGACTATTTTGAATTAGTGTATTAATTCCAAGTATATTTTGTTACAGCACTGCCAGATTTTTTCCACTTATGTTTAATTTATTTATACTTAAAATAAGAAGGAAAAAATACACTCTTATTAAGTCTTAATGTAACATGGGATAAGTAAATGCATCTTTTTACATAGTTTAACTTTATTTTTAATGGACAACAAGTCAAAATACTAATTAAAAACTCATTAAGGTAATTCCTTTAAGTGTAAAATCTAATCTTTAAGGTTGTAAGTCCCATTCCATGAGCTCCGGAAGCGTTCAGCAAGGACACTGGCCCCAACCCTGGTGGTCATGGTGCTCTACCATGCTAAATCATCTTAAGAGTATCGTTTAGAATAGTTCAAAGGCATGTGTGAATCTACAGACCTTGTCAGAGATCAGAGATAGAGGCCCCCAATACGCCTCAGGTGACTCCACTGAGCAGCTGCCAGAAGGCGTCAATTAAAAAATGTTCATCCATCAAAGAACCTAATCTCAAGTTCGGCCAACACTTCCATTGTAGCAGGTTTCCATACCACTGCTTCAACATAAAAGAAAGCATTAAGGTGTGCTGTGGGACTTCCATACCATTGAGAACACATAAAGAGGGATTTCGAGGTGTGCTAGCTTACAATGCAAAGCTAATTGTTCAGCAGCTCTTATCATGAATGCTATGCCATAGTGCCGTTGCTTTGATGAGCTAAAATGACAAAAGGGAATAGAATACCATAACAAACAAAAAAAAGAGATCAAAATCAAAATGCAACCTGAGTTTTTTCGGAAGCAATAAATGGAGCTGGCCGCAGGCGATGTCTATATGAGCCATGGCTGCCTCAATGTCAAAGCAGGTTTCATATATTATACAGAGCCCCCCCAGGTCATCAATTCCTTTTGTTTCCCATGAGGCATTATTCTGCAATTTTTGTCATGTCCCTCAGAGAGTCAAAAAACACGCTGCTCATACTCCATAGGCAAGGCAATCATCGACAGATCATATTCACTACAAACACACACTGTTGTCTAAATAAATTTGTTCTTGGTATAGAAAACACCTTTGTTACATGGGTATGGAGAAGATTTTCTGAGAGAGATCAAGGTATGGCTGCACATTCTGTTTTCTTTGTGTGCTAGGACACAGGAGGATAGGAATCTTGATGAAATGAAAGACGTTTGTCTCTTGCTATCTTCAGCATGCTCTACCGCTGTCTGAAATGTGTGGAAACCCCAATGAATAAGATAAACGAAACAAAAAATGTAGATCTACAGTCGGAGCCTGTGCAATATACAGGAACAGTGGAAAAACAACCAGAATCACTAGGCTGGGCGCTACATTCCTAAAATGCTTTGAATTTTAGCAGTGGACTTTTTTCCGAAAATTGTGCATAACAGTGGTGAACACGCCTGGCTAAGTCTTTCAATAAAAAGACTAATTGCTGTTATGATCAGCATTTAAAGCTGACTGAGGTATGAACATGCTCTAAAAATATACATATATGCAGGCTACCTTCTTTGCCTTTCAAGCATGCTTTGTCAGTTTTTATATGATTCACGCTTAGCCAACAAAAATATTGCCAATGTTTAGTCATGCAACTAGCTATTTTCTGTAGTATGACAGCAGTAGCTATTTTCAAAATAGTATAGCTTGACCAGCAAGCAGTCATTTTTCCAGTTATTGCACTTTCTTTCATATATAGGGTTAGTTACATAAGATTCGTTACTGATTTGATTCATTTCAGTGAATTAGTGAATCAATTTATCTTAGAACAAAAACAAACTTTGTGAACATCTTTGTGAATTGATTCATTTTAGTAAATGACTTACTGATTAAACAATTCAAAGAATAATTTGAGTCCATGCACAGTATTCTTATTTTTTTACACCCAAATACTTGGTTAAATGCTGTATTATGTGCTATTACATAAAATAGGTTTTTGTATTTTTATTTAGTATAAATGTATCTTTTATAACAATGCAGTTTTCTACATTTTGGTAGTAGCTTGTAGTGTAGCAAGCTACTTTTTAGTACTTTGACTGAAGTATAACTTAGCATTACCAATTGTAAACATGTTTTCAAACAGGTTTCCCATCATTGGTCAGAGAAAAACTAATATTCCAGCACCAAACTCACACCACTGGTTGAGCCAGTGTTGCTACATTTGGCTGGTTGGGATGACCAAACAAATTAATGTTTTGATATTGCCACTGAGAAATGTTTTTACACTTACAGCTGTCTCTGCATATTAAAAAATATTCTAAGACTGACACCTTCAACAACTTCAAAACTAGATTATTTTTAAATTTGGCAAGCTAGAATTTCAAAGTAGTTTCCCCAACACATGTACTGTAAGATATTCCTACAGAGAAGATAAATAATGCTGTAATATCCCAGGAGTAAGAGCATGTACTGTGAGAGACATCAGTGCTCACTTTGAATAGAGATGACGGGGTGCTCTAGGCGGGTACACTCCGGCCTCGTGTGGGGTGCTGGGGTGGGGGAGGGTTCTGTAGGGAGAGGGGGCCTCTGGGATAGTATAGCAGGAAACGGAAGAGTGATGAAACAGAGGATAAGGCCAGGCACAGCCAGGGAAGCCACGGCCCGTGGCAACACTGTCATGGTGACGGAGGCCGACCTCTCCTCTAGCTGCCAAGGTGGGCCTCTGGAATGCACCTGTTGAGACCGGAGAAAAAGATTCATGGTAAACATACTTTTTGAAGTTTATTTTCTTGACATTTCTTTGAGGTTTCCATTTTTCTGCAGCACACACACACATCTTTACTGTCATAGGAGTTGAATAGTTTGGCAATATTGTACTTCTTTATGATTATGTCAAAGTTTTGTTGACTTGAGAGAGAAGGTGAAAGAAAAAGTAAACAGAAAAATTACTATTTGTCCTTACGACAACAGTTAAAATGTGTATGAAACCGAAAGTTGCAAAAGAGTCAGACCAAAAATCTAATTAATTTTCTATTTTAAATTATCTATAAAGTAGGGGGGCTGATCAACGAAATAATGCTGATATATTACTGTAGGCATTTCTGTAGTTCAAACAAAAGGTCACGGGTCCAGTTTGTGTCTGCCAAATACATAAATTACAATGTAAATATATTACAAGCATTTCAATGTACCAATGGCAAATGAGATGCAGAGAACATGCCTTAATTCATATTAAAAACACTGAATCAATATTAAATAAAATATATTTTTTACAAATATTTACTCAAAAAAAAAAAAAAAAACAGAA